GGGTTGCTCCAGGCTTTGGGAGGGCAGCCTAGGTCACAGCCTGGCCAGGCAGTGGGCAAACACCAGGTCCGTGGGGAGGTTTGCACCCACACTGGTGGGACTCTCTAGTCCCTACTGGCACACATCGGGTGCTGCCCAACCAGGGCAACTGGACGAGGAGTGTCCTGGTGGGGATGGCTGGGGCGCATTAGGGCAGCTCCCAGGAGTTGCTGCTGCCCCTCCCAGCATCGTGACCTTCCCTGCCTGCAATAGGCATGGGACACAAGCAGCAAACCCTCGGTGGGTCAGCCCCTTCAAGGGATGTAGGCTGTTGGGATACAGACTCACCTCTCCTGCTGCCTGCTTGGCCCCGTCTGCTCAGGGACCAGCTCCTCCAGCCATGGTGTGGCACAGACCTGCCACAGCCTGCTGGCACCTCTTACCCAGCTGAGCCTGCCCCCCAGCCTGGGGGTCCCTGCCCAGGGATAAGTGGTGGGGTTGCCCGGCACTTCTGCACAGCCACACCGTTCGGTACTGAGCACCACGGCCAGCCACAGCTGGGGACACCCCTGTGCCCTGGGCACTGCGAGGGCACTCGCATGTCACACCGGGCACCCCGTCGAGAAGCTGTGTGTGCCCACACAGGGCGGCTGAGTCCCGGCTGGTGCTGGTCCCCCCTGTGGTGGGTGATGCCTGCGCTGTCGCTAAGGAGCACGTGTAACTGGATCTGGGTTATTTTGGGCTGCTGTCAGGGCTGGGTGCTCAGCACCTCCCACACACACACCAGCTGCTGCTATTTCGGAGCTGCTGGGCCCCCTCCCCTCCTCTTCTCCTCCCCCTCCTCACGCCTTGGGTGGGAATCTGGGGCGTTCGCCTGAGGTTCCTTAAAACCTGGTCAGCCAGGGGGGGCACGATCAGCAGGTTGACCCTGCTAGCCCTGTCGGCCCCCACCCTGCTCCGAGCACAGCTCCGGACAGGTTCGCCCCACTGCTCCTCTCTGCACTGGGCTCTCATGCAGAGCTGGGAGCAGAACCCCTGAGCTCCCACCACTCATCTCCACCAGCACCCGGTGCCCCCCACGGGAGAGAGGTGAGCAACCCTGTGGTCCCCCAGACCCCTCCGTGCTCTCAGTTTCTCCATCGAAGAGTGGTGATGCCTCCTGGCCCCAGTGCCCAGCTGCCCATGCCTGTCTCTGCTTGGCATGAGCCTGCCCAGCTCAGGGAGTACCCGGGGACCTGGGAGAGCCCCATGGCACAAGTGCAGCACAGCCAGGCCAGAGTGGTTGGGAGGGCTTTGCTGGGAGTGCAGCCCGGTCACCCAGGCTGACTGCTGAAGGGCTGGGCTTGCACTTTGCCGGGTGGACTTTATCCTGCAAAACAGCTTTGCCAAAGTCTGGTCTGCATTTGTGCAGGCTGCCCTGGAGGGGACACCCAGCATGGACAAGGCTGGCAGTGGTGGGGCACTGTGCACCTCTTGCAGCTGTGAGGCAGGCATGGGGTGCTGCCACCCCCAACTTCCCAGGGCACAGGGCTGGCAAGGGGAGGCAGCTGGCCTGGTCTACAACCCAGGGCGTGGGGCAGCAGTGTCGCCAGGCAGGGAGAACTTTGAGCCCTGAACATTGCCAGGGAGCCAGGCAGCAGCAGCCAGGCCAGCAGGATGGGGCAGGCCAGCCAAGGCT